CGCTGCACGACTTACGAGCCCCGCTCAACCGTCTACTGCAGAAGGATGCTCCTTGGTGCTGGTCCCCCAACTGTGGAAATGCCGTTGTCGAGCTGATGTCGATGCTGAGTTCAGATCTGTTGCTCACACACTATGACCCGACAGCGCCGATCGTCGTTGCTGCAGAAATCTCCAATCATGGCATTAGTGCCGTCATTTCGCGCACTTTCCCCGACGGGTCCGAAAAGGCGAGCATGCACGCATCACGAACTTTAACCTCTGCCGAGGAGAACTATGGTCAAATCGAGAAAGAAGTCTTAGAAATCATCTTTGCCGTCAAGAAGTTCCGCAAGCTGCTGTACGGTCATCATTTGACTCTGTTAACCGACCATAAACTGTTACTGTCCATCTTCGGTTCGAAGAAGGGTATCGCAGTCTACTCAGCCAACCGACTTCAGCAACGGGCAACCCTTCTTCTCGGTTACGATTTTGAAATCCGCTACTGTCGTACTTTGGGCAGGCTGACGCCCTTTCTCGCCTCATCTGTAATCATCAGGAACCCGAGGAAGATGCAGTGATTGCTGCTATTTAGATTTAGGATGGAGTGCGCCGTCAGCTTTCGGACGACATTCGAGGCATTCCTGTAACTGTTGTCGAAATACGACGCGCTACCGAAAAGGATCCTGTGCTTCGACAAGCTATCTCCTATGTGCAAAACAGTTGACCTACCTCTGCTCTTACTGGCGATCTTCATCAGCTCTTCCTACGTCGAGCATTGCTGTCTGTCTTTCCTAATCTTTGCCGAATGTATGGTCATTTCTCATTTACTTCGAGCTATGGTGCTACGCCACTTTTATGCTGTTCATCCTGGTACCAGTCGAGCGAAATCCATCGCTCACAGTTTTGCTTATTTTTCCGGTCATTAACAGCGACATCAATGATCTGGTTTAGTGCTGTTCATTTGGTCAAAAAGCTGCCAAAATTCCCGCTCGTCAACCGCCAGTACCATGGAAAACTCCGGATAGGCCTTGGTCTCGTGTGCACCTCGATTTCGCTGGCCCACTCGACGGTGTCACTTACCTAGTCGTGGTTGACGCCTACGCGAAGTGGCCCGAGATTGCACCGCTGACTCCGGCAAACAATTCTGCCACTTTTGCCTTCCTACGGCACATCTTCAGACAATACGACATACCGGATGTTCTGGTGTCAATGTACCTCATCTGTCTTTGAGGTTTTCTGCCGCCAAGACCTCATTCAGCATCCTCACTCCCGCCCTACCATCCCCAATCGAACGGTCAGGAGGAACTTTTTGTGGACACCTTCAACGAGCCCATTTAGGAGCTCGTAGGGAGCGGACTATGGACGAGATACTCCAGGCATTCCTGTTTTCCTACAGGATCAAACCTAATGCGAAGTCTCCTCGTGGTGTCTCCCCTACCGAAGCCTTTATGGGCCGGAAACTTCGATTGAAATTCCATGCATTGTTGCCTATGAATCTGCCGTCCTCACAGTAATTTCCATCTGTCTCTCGTAGCAGGCTTTCTGTCGAAACTCCCGTCTCCTTTCATGAATACCGAGCTAGGTTCCCAGACTAAAACTGAAGCGACAGCAGCAGCGCACAGAGGCAGCATGCTGTTCGACATCTGCGTCGGTGATGACACCTGGGTTCGTCACAACAATCAGATCCAAAGGTGGCAGGGCAGTTATCCAACCGGGCCGTAATCGGGCGCTTCACTCCCTCTCGACATACTGCTGGCTGTACCATTTTTGGAATCGCTTCCCGGTCCTGTACCTGCAGACCGAAAACCACCCACAACACGCCGGACTAACTATGTTTGCCGAAGGACGCAGCACATACAGATCAATCCACTTGAAAAGCGGTACCAACATACTTGAAGAGGAGGTGTTGGGAATGCAGCTATTGCCATGATGAGTCGACCCCTAATAGCATTGCGCGCGTTAGCGTAATACGCAAACACGCGCTTCACGCGTGCTCGGTTGTCATTGGCTAGGATAATGACGTAATCAATAGGTGATTGGCTTATCGATTTTCTGCATGCTCTCGCCATCGGCCGACGCGTGGCCGCCGCTCATGAGTGCATGCAGGTGTCACAGTGGCGCCATTGTGACT